GCTGTTGATAATCTTCCTTACTCCCTCTTTCTCCTCCCTCCAGGTGTGGTAGGGAGTCCTCTCCTCCTCTTGAGTTGGCCTTGCTTAGCCTTCTCACGGTCAGCAACCCCTTAGCCACCATCGTCAGATGGCCAGGACTACAGTTGTAGTAGGGGAGAACAGCCAACAGGCTACGGTCAATCTCCCCATTCTCTTATTTCCCTAAGAGGCTGCCTAGTCAAATATAAACGCAATTACCGATAAATGGTATTTAAGGTCTTTGGGTCTACCCCTCCGCTCTCCTCTTCCTACGGTCGGATTGGCTGGCACCCTACTGCTTGTCATGAACTGTGACTAAGCAAGGCAGATTTCACATAGCTCGGATTTCCGAGTTATAGGTATGTTGGGATTTCACATGATGCACACTAGTGCGCCATAGGTTATTATGTTTACCTGTTCGTGACTCACAGTTGTGAGTCACACGATGTTATGATTTTCACACATGACTCATACTTATGAGTCATGGGTTTCACTCAGGTGACGCGAGTTGCGCACCTGACTTGGTTATTATGTTTTGATTGGTTTAAGCATGTTGCGTAGCGACTCATAGGAGTCGTCTGATGGATTTCATATGACTCATGGTTATGAGTCACAGGGTTCACGTGACGCGAGGTGTGAGTCACGCCAGGTAAAGAGCGACTATATAAAGGGTCACTAGGACCCTGAGTATGAGTTCTTCACACGTTCTTCTTGTTTATTTCCTACCTTCAAGTTATTATCAATAAAACCTACCTTTACGCTCTTTAAGATTTATCTTAAGAAACCCGAGAATTGTCTTTCCTCTCAAGCGAGAAAACTATTTCTCCTCCCACGTCGAACGACTAAGTCCTAATCAAGGACTAAGAAGAATAAGAAGATAGGCGCGAATACGATAATAGTCAAAGGACTGGACTATTGGGATCGCGTAGGCACAGGCCTGAGAGCTATCACCTTATAGAGAAGTACCGTTACCCGTCGCTATGTCCTACTCGGTAGGATTCTTAACACTGCTACACCTTTCCCTCCCCCCAGCTATCACCCATGGCCGGCTGGTCTCCTCCTTCGCTCCATGGTATTGCACTGCCTCCTTGAAGTGGGTCTAGGGGGGGCACCCTATCTTAGCGCACTTCGGGCATCGCTTCCCGCTGGAATGAGTGGACTCACCCTTCAGGGTCCTACGTGGCTTGCTACTAACCTTTTTTTTGTTCTTTTAAAATTTCTCAGTAGGTTTTCCTGGCCTTTCCTACTTTCTTCTTAGTTAGGATTTTCTTGTTCGTCCATCTAGCCGGGCTTGGGTTTCTTTTCTTTGAGACGAGATATGCAGTTGGCTCTATACCAGAGGGGCTTGGGGGGTTGGCTTTTTCCTGTAGTGAGAGGAGGGATATGGGGTTTTTATCCTCATAGCTAGCGCTCCATACGTTCTTTGTACTCTAAACAAATAATCAATAAGTCAAACAAAAAAAAAGAAAATCCCTAGCTTTAAGTCTATTATTAGCGACCAGAGAAGAGATCTTATCAATATATTCATTCTATTTTACTTCTATCTTTACAAGCCTTCTTAACTATCTCTGAGACAGAAGATTATAGGGCTTAGTGTACACTTGCTTGACCTTAGAGTTACCTACTCCCTAATAGTAATTGCTCTACTATGGTGAGTTATAGTAACCAGTAACTATATATATATATAAGACTTAGTATAACAATTCCTACCTATAACAGAGGCTCAAACAATAAGTAAAAACTTTTGTTTTCTTAACTTAGTAGTTCTTAAGCTGATGCCTATGTTGTATTTAATAGCCAAGTCCTTGATTCTTATAATATGATATCTACTAAGTTATCTCAAGACTAATAGTTCTTTGGAAACGATAGATGTATAGAGAAAGTATAATAAGTTTTCTTTAATTAAGTAACAAAACTAATAGGTAAAGAAATATGCAGATAGTATTATGAAGAAGTCTGAAAGGATGTTTGGCATACTATTATTTGAAATAATCATGATTTCAAATTATGTTTTCTAAATATGTATGGTTCCTGACATTCAAAACATGTTTCTGGTTCAGAAGTTGTATCACATCAAGAAATTTTATCAAATTTAATCTGTTATAAGTTTTGAAGAGTATTATAAAGAGACATTGTTTAATAGTAAAACTACCATTGAAATCAGAATGAATGTAAATCTGGGAACGTTGTTTAAGAAATCATATAATAGTACAGCCTTTTTGAGCTATAAATATATGAGATATATCATACTCAATTGGTTATAATATAATAATTAAGTTCTAGGTTATAGGAATTAAAATACTTCTGTAAAAAATCATAACAACACTAGTCTAAACCTTTATCCCTACAACAATATTGGAGGAATAATAGGGATTGGAGATGTGGCTGATATAACACTTTTCACACTTTTACACCAAAATTCCAACTTTTCAAAGTCTAAAGGAAAGTTATTGAGAAGTCCAAGGAACAAAAAAAAACCTGGTGTTTATTCTCCTATATCTTCTCCTTAATTGTCAGGTTTTTTTTCTTCAGTAGATATGGTGGGTGCTGAGCCTATAGGATTTGAAAATTACTGAATTCCTGGTACATATTTTGGTTGTCAGGAACCATATACAAACAACCAATAACTCTTATCCGAACATATAATTATGCCAAACAGCAATATCATTTCTAAATATATTTTGTAAATAAGGTTTTATTAGCTATGTATTAGATGGTTAAATTTATTATTAGCAATATTCTGTTAACTAAAAAATATATAAAGAAGTAAAAGATTTTTATAATTAATCTAATGTGGATTATCACTTTGTGGACCACATCACTTCGCAGGCTACTTTTCTCTACTACTACCACTCCAACTTTAAAACATGTTTACTTATGTATTAATAATACAAGTCCATATCCCTGAGGTTTGAATAATTGTCACAATCAAGGCAAAGCGAACCACATCACAATTGAGTATTTGAAAGCTCGTGAAGCAGTTTGATATCCTATGAACATCATCGAAGTAGCGTAAGACTAGTACGCAACTTTGTACTAGCATTTGCTACAAACCTGGCTACAATGTAAGAACCTACTCGGAGGCTACAGATGTAGATGGTTTATCAGATTCTAACTTGGTAGAGTCTGATTGAGTTTTTTTTCCATAGAGTTATAGGTGTTAGAAGTTGAAGGGTCTAGATTCGGAAAGTAGTCTATGAAGTGATATGGCCTACAAAATGATAATCCATGTTACTCACATATGAAATTTTTTAAACTTAATTCTAAACTATAATTTTTTGTAGCACTATAGTAAAAACAAACTACAATAATCTATATACCTATTATGTCTACTGGCTATAAAGATAATGAAGTTATTGATGTACTACAAGTTGCCACTACTACTAGGTTAGATAGTATAATGTCTAATCCTTAATAATAATTATAATATTTTTAAGTTTTACAACCCTATTCTTAACTCTTTATAAATATTTATATTTTTTTATTACTTTTTATCCAATACCCTCTACTAAAATGTTGACTGACTGTTTATATAAAATATATAAATTATTGTACATATTAATCATGGAATTGACCTTTTAGTAATCCTAGTAAAATATTTTTATATTATTTCAAAACATATTTTGTAATAATGGTTGTATTATATTTATAAACAATGATATGCTAAACTCTATTGTTATTACAAAATACTAGTATGTTTTAAAATCAAGATTATTTTAAATAATAGTATGCCAAACTCTCCCTAACCAATACTTAAAACAAAACATAAAATAAACTAAGGGGCTGTTTGGCGCAAGCAGTTCATCAATTCAAAATTCGTTTTAGGTCAACAGAAAGAGTTACAGAACTAAGTTAATAGCTATTAATACATGTTCAGGGGCACATTAAGCCAATTGATTAACATGGTAGCTGTTCCAAAAGGCATTTTGAATTGATGAACTGCTTGCGCCAAACAGCCCCTAAGTATCAACTGATACTTAAAACAAAATATAAAACAGACTAAGTATTAACTAATACTTAAAACAAAACCTAAAACAAACTGAGCGCCAGTTCCGGTTATAAAAATAAAGTTGATAGTTTGAACTTGCATTTGAGGTGAAAATATAGGTCTTGTAATTTATATTTTTAATAGAAGTATAGATAAATTTATATATATTTAAGTTTCAAAGAATGATTTACTAGTTAATATCTGGTAGGAGGTAGAGGATATAATTAGAGATCCTATATTTTAGTAGCCTGAGAATAGTGCAAAGATGCATACTACAATAAATGCTATAACTTAGTTTATAGAAAATCATATACAGGTTACAGAATGGCTACCCAATTTCTCAGACCTCAATCCTATTAGTTATAGTTAAAAAAGAATAAAGAAAAAGCTATACCAGTACTTTCCTAATATTTACAAGACTAAAAACAGTCTAGAAACTATTAGAAGACATCTAATAGAAGCACTTAATATGGTTTGGGCTCAGGATATTAAAGGAGAATTCTTGGAAAGGCTATGGAAGTCAATATTCAGGAGAGTGGTTGCTGTTCTACATGCTAAGGGATATTATATGAAGTATTAATTTCTTTTTCTTTGAAATTTCACATAAGAGTTTTCTTATATTTATTAGATCTCTATTTAAATTTTTAGTTTATTCTAAGTACTAGTTGTGGTTGTGTAGATAGTAAATTTATAGTGGTTAAGTTATAGGATTGCCATTACCATGCCGGACAATCCCTTTTGTCCCCGTACTTTAGCTGTCATTTTACCCTCGTATTTACCACTAGCAGTACAATATGATTGATTATACCTTTAATATTACTGGTGTTTTTATGGTAATATTGGCTCTCATCATCACAGAGCCATAAAATGGCCCATGACTGCATTTTAGCCATTGATATTGTAGTATGGTACTGTATGATAACTAAGGCCTATCACAGTGGCCTTAAAGTTAGGCTGCTCCTCGATCGCTCAGTGTGATGGAAGATTTTCCTGCGGGGGGCACTAGATTACACGCTAGCTTACTGTGGTATTTTCGCGGAAATAATGCGGGATTCATTATTTCTCGTTTTTGATAGGTTTATAAACAGAAACATACAAGGAGGTCAAACTGGGGGCCTGGATACATTATCGCCGACAATGGGAGCCCCCATGAATATTCTTCTCTGGAAAATTCATGAATACAGAGTATTTTGTGAAACAATACGGAGGGAAGGAGGAAAGAAAGGGGAAAAAAAGCAGTCGCTAAAATCATTACCATGCCACGGGAGTCCTCTTTATTTTATTTCATTTCACTTTTTTTTGCGGGGCTGCGGATGGTAGGTCTGTCTTAGCTGATCCCCCATTCCTCTAAGGCTTGGGTTGGGGCCCGCACACCCTTCGTTCGTTCGTTACCCGCAAGGCCTGTCTTGTGCCTCTTCATCCTTTTCTCTTGCCTTCTTTCCCCCCTTCCTCCCCACAACAAACCTTCCCACCACCAAACCGGTTTCCACTACAGATTTATCAGTTCTCCTCACCCACCGCCAATTCGTGTCTGGGTATCTTTTCTTATCTGTCCTGTTTGTCACCCATCCCCAAGCGTTTACATTGCACTTTCCCTGTCTCCCCACTCAACCCCGCATTTCCCATGGCTGGTGAGGCTCTGAGCTAATTGGCGTTACTGGGGGACGAATAGCTTGAGAAATCCTTCATCTCGACGCAATGTCCTCTACTGCTGCAGTTACACAGCCGAACACCTCCCGTGGGAAGAAGAAGGGTAAGGGAGGTGGGGGAGGAACTCCATCCCCTGCTCCCGAATTAGCGCAAGACAAGATGGCCGACTCTACAAATGATCTCGTGAAAACCGGTGATAAAGGAGAGAAAGAGTATTTGAAATGGATCACGAAGTAGGTCTTTGATCTGTCCACATCAAGTTCCTGTAGCTTAAACCCCCTTTTCAACAGGCAGCTCAAAAAACACGCCAAAAAACTTGTAAGTATACTGACCCCCCACAGTAAACTAGGAATTCTGTGCCATAAGCAAACATCTACTAGTTTTTCTACTACGCTACACGCTGACTGTAGCTATTTGCTGATCATTCTCAATGCTAAATAGGATAGTATTGCAAAGTCTGAAGAGAAGATCAAGGATCTTTCCGAAGAGGAGAAGGCTACTACCAAGATTATCAACGCCGATGAGCGCAATAAAATTATTGGGAAACCTATTACTCTTGCATTACACAAGGAGCTCAAGGAATGCTACGAAAACCTTTTAAAAGCTTCTGAACTGGAGGACAAGCGCCTAGAATCTGAGAAGGTTGAAGCTCAGGCAAGGCTCGAGAAGGCTGTTGAAGAGGCAAAGGCTGAAGCGCAGGAAGAGATGGACCAGGCTGCCAGAGCTAAGATCCTGACTGTCGTCAAATTCTTGAGACTTGCGGGGCACCGCCGGAACAACAAGAGTGGCGACGAGGACGAGGATGAAGCTATTGAAAGGGTTCTCGTTCTTGTATATGGTGGCGATCAGAGTGCTATCGATACTTGTCTCAAGCTTGCTAACGGCTCCGAAGAGCCGGTCGATGGCTTTCAAGTTTCTTGTAAGGATACCCCCCATTCTCTTACTCTTGTGCTAGGCACGACACCTACGGTTGCAGGGGCTGAGTCGGTTTCCTGGTGTCTAATTTTCTTTACACAGATTCACGCATTCAGGACGTTGCCCATTCTCTCAGGATACCAGGTGTGGGCGACGAGGAGATCGAGGAGCCACAGGAAGATGTTGGGGAACCGGAAACCGAACAGCAACAGCAAGATAAACAAGAGGAACCACCTACTTACGAGGCGGCTGCTGGAGATGGTTTCGACCTCGCTACACAGGACGAAAAAGTTCCCCTTTATGCCGAGGGCGCCGCTGAGGACATTCAGGCCCCTCCCCAGCAAGCCTATACTAATGGAGACGAGCTTGAGGCACCTGCAATTCTCCCCGATATACCTCTCGCCGACAGTGATGCTAGTAATCATGCAGCCAAGGAGGTTGAATTGGAGGGCAGCGAGGACCAAACGCAGGCCCAGGTGACCGGAGAAACACAGGCACAGGACGCACCAGCAACACAGACCGCTAACGGTGGACCGGCTGGGGGCTCTTGGGCAGATGATCAACCCAAGACCCCAGAGGCTAGTGATGAGTTCCAGAATGTTGAGCGCCGTGGTAGGGGGCGTGGGTTCCGCGGTGACCGTGGCCAAGGCAGATGGCGTGGACGTGGTCACCGTGGAGACAGAGGAGGGTACCGTGGAGACCGAGGGGATAGAGGTGGCTACCGCGGCCGTGGAGGTCATCAGCGTGGCGAAGGAGGGGAGCGTGTGGATCGTGGGGACCGTCCATACCGTCACAGACCGAAAAACACAGACCGCCAACAACCTCAACAAGCCACCACATCTTCTACCTAACTGGTCGGAGTTGACCTTAATCTGCCAACTAACTGCATTGTACTCATATCCTGTTCTACTACTGTCTGTAATTTTCCTTGTGATTGATATCTCTTTGTGTTTTTCTGTTCTTGCTTCACGTTAGTGGGGAAGGGTTGGGGGATACAAAAAAACTCGAAATCTGCGATGTTTTCATAGGGAGATGAGGGTGGTTTAAGTGTGGGTGCGTGCATCTTAGTCGCTTCTAGTTCGGAAAACAAAACCAAAACGAAAAGTTTTTTCCTTGAGTTTCTCTCTTTCTCCTTTCCTCCTCTTACATTTTCATTCGTCCTCCGGGTAAAACGCAGGATATGGGGGGCAAAAGTTTGGGGGTACGGTTTTGGGGAAAGGGGTGTTTTGCATTATTCCCTTCTTTTGCTGTTCTTGATATCTCTATCTCTCTTTATATCTAGGTCCCACTTTCTTTCGTTTTATATCTCTTTTTTCCTTTTTCTCCCCCCTCCCCCCATTTTTCCCAAAAGCGTCTGATTCAAAATCTATTGGGGGGAGCATAGCATTTTCAAAGGTTGGGAACGCTTTATTACGGAGAGGACGCGCACATGTTTGTCGCGGCGACGATGATGATAATGACGAATGCTAGTACCGTGCAACACGAGGTTGGAAAGTTAGGTGTAATGTTCCGAAACAAGTCAGTCAGATATGGATTGCTACAAGTACCGTACAGTGCGGGTGGGCCATATGGTGGTGGTGATGATGCCTTGAGACGGAAGCAGTAGCGGCTAAGCTGGCTCTGTACGATAGCAAGCTCCTGGGTAGTCTATTTAGTTATTTGGTTACAAGTTGATAGCCCTCATTGCTCAGCATTCACCAAATGTTAAGCACCTCTTGGGTTAGCTAGAGCACCGTATCGGACAGATGCACACCGGTATTCAGAACAAAATGGCATGGACCGCTCCGTACCTCTTTGGAGGTGCTGTAGTGCACATAAGTGCACCACCGGTAGTAGGCGCTGTGCGGTGCCGAGCCATACAGTTCAGTGCCGGTACCTTGCAGGCGGGAGGTTCGAAGCTCTCGATACGCCAAAAACGTACTTGAATACGGTAGTGCTGTGATAGTACTAGTACAGCCGCACTTCCCAAGCCCGAAATCGGTTTTCAAGGGTCTTTTTTTCTCGGGTTGGTGCTTGCTGCGCGGTATGATAACCCGGGAGGTAACTTATATAAGCCTTGGTTGGAAACTAAAAAAAAACAAAAAACCACTCTTTTTGTGAAGAAAGTACGAGTCGTACTTGTACACCGTGCACAGCGCTGGTTGTTGTTGCCCTGGATCCGTACAGTACTGTGCTGTACTGTACCGAGAGCTTAGAACCTCCCTACCATGCTACCGGTAGTATCATATCCATGTTCATGCAAAAGCCGCCACGCCACGATACCGGTACGGTCCAGGGCTGTAGGAGCACACCTCGCAGCTCCCCAGGACCTATCTATCATACCCGCCCCCGTCTCATCTATCCATCCACCATCCAACAACACATCAATTGCTCCTGTGGACATACCGTGCCCCATCCGCCGTATGGGTCTACGGTGCCGCAGGATTATATGATACCCAGAGGATCCGGCAACCAACCGGCTGGCCGCCCTTATCAGTTAAGGTAACCAAAGTTCGAAAGAAGGGGAAAATAAGGGCAGAGTAAAGATCTGCAATGCTCGGGCGGTAGAATAATGAAGATCGTGCACTTTTTTTTTTGCTGGATGGATGGATGAATGAATGAAGGGATGAATGGAGGGTTGCGGGTGTGTGCCTGGCTTAGCGGGGGGGGGGGGTTTCTTTTACTTTTTTTTTTTTTTTTTGTATGGTAGATAAAAGCTTGTATGACGTGAATTAGATTGTATTTGGCTTGGCGGTTGGCCACGGAGGGATAGGTTGGCCTATATAGTATGGTACAACACCGCGTGCTTTGACTGTTTGGAAGGCGGAGGGCTGGGATGTAGAGATACAGTACGAGTACTGTGGGGTACGGTACTCGAGTACAGTTACGAGGACGATGAAGGGCCAATACCGGTATGATGGCGTGATAGAGGGGTACAGTACCGTACGTACGAGTACTGCACCAACAGTTCTTGTATCATACGTAAACTGTGGTACGGTGGACGGGTGGTGGTGGCAGCAGTACTGTACTGTACCGTACTTGTACGAGACTCTATCAGCGAGAGTACACCTGTATGGTTGTGTCCTGCGGTATGCATAGTTATTTGCCCTTGGTTCGCACATACTCATATCTCACGCCTATCATATCATGCCTGTACGGTACGGTGCGAGTTAGGATACTTGTATCATTCATCGACTGAATGTATCATATCGTGGTGCGTGCCGTCGAACGGAGCATTACATAAGATGGAGCATGGTAGGAAGGTCCGCAGAAAGTAGGAAGGAAGGTAGGAAGGAGAGAGGGGGAGGAGGGGGGGGCAAAACGGGTTACGATTATGGGGAATAGTACCGGTATCGTGGGGGAAGGGGTGGGAAAGGGAAACCGCGTGATCTCGTTTTCGTCGCTTGGGGTTTTTATTATCTGAGATTTTGGGGAATTCTGGCTTGGGAAGGGGGGGTTTGGTTGGAACATCAGATCCTCATGTTGTTTTTCTTCCCTTTTTCCCTTCACAAGCAGCTGTGCGTGAGAGGATTGGGGAGAGAGGGCGGAGAGGATACTGAAGGGATACGGGAATAACAATAAATGGGATCCAAAAAAAAATACATGGCTCGTCTTTTCTTTTTAAGAAATTATTTCCTTTTTGCCCTTCTCTCTCTTGAAAGGTTCCCTTTTTTCATTCTTTTTTTTTCTCCGACACTTTCGCCTTTATACCTCCCTTGCTCTCCCCCCCCCCCTCCTGTTGTCTCTCGTTCCTTCTTGCTGCTTGCCCTTTCATTCCTTTCATTCTTCCCTTCGTTCGTAGCTTGCCGAGACGAACAGAAGGGTAAGTCAGGGTAGGGTGGTCTAAGAATCAGCCTACAGGCAGGAAGGACCCGCCACCTTTTCGTCTCTCTGCAACCACTCAACCCCCCTTCACTGTCAAGTTGAACGAACCTACGGTACTGACAGTACACGACTCGCTCATCCGCAACCCGCCCCACGCTTCCTCTCCCACCGTACGCCTAATCCTCACCCGCCAACGAACCTCCGGTCTAACAACTGCATAGCAGGTAGTTGGTTTGGCAAGGGGGAAAAGAGGAAGAAGAAGAGGAAGAAGAAGGGGGAGGAAGAAAAATAAATAAATAGGAAAGAGGAAACCACTGAGATTCCAGGGTCAATCAATCCATCAAGCGGGTTCACACCAACCCTTTCCTCCGCCCCTCGAGTTTGCCCAGTTTGCAACATCTCCGGTCGCTGCCGTCACGATGGCGGCTGCTGTCATGGACCCGGTCAATACCGGTGGGGAGGGGTCCAAGTTCGAGGTTGTCGTCGAGAAACGGCAGCCCAGCAATGATGAACAATTCGAAGTGTTTCCTGAAGAGAAGGATGAGGAGATTACCCCCTCGTATTACTACGAGAATATGGGTATCCCCGTGTTTGAACCTGTAAGTTTACCTGTTCGAGCGCGATTCCTTTCAATGTTCTTCGAGGGGGTTTCTGTCGCTTGGGGATGGAGCTCTACTTTTGCTTTTCGGGAATGAGTCTTTTGGAGGGGGGGGGGGGGTGCCGATGGGATTGAGGGGAGGGATCTTTTGCTGGCGAATGCAGGGAGCTATTGATGCGGTGGTCCAGAAAACTGACGTCGCGAACAGACAATGGATCAGTTCCGCTCTTTTAAACACTTTGTCAATAAGATCAATCATTACGGGATGCAGTCGGGCATCATCAAGGTCATTCCTCCGAAAGAATGGTGAGTTGGTCGCTCCATCTCCCGTCTGTTAATTGCGTCCCATTCGCGATTTTACTACGCGATCATCGTGCGCTGATGCGCTGATGAATTTTTTCGTGTTATTTTTCGTGCTGACCATTCTCTAGGACCGACAATTTAGCCTCCCTTGAAGACAAATTGAAGGACATCCGAATTAAGAACCCTATCATCCAGCACATGGCCGGTGTAGCGGGGGAGTATAGACAGGAGAACATAGAGAAGCAGCGGACCTACAATCTTCCCCAATGGCGCCAACTCTGCGAAAGTAGCGAACACCAACCGCCCGCAAAACGTGGAGAGAGAAGGAAGGGCCAAGCTATCAAAGAGGCCCCCGCTGGGAGGAAAGCTAAATCCAGGAAGAGCGCCGCGGCCGCCGTTGTGGAGGTCAGGGAAGAGGACGTTGTTGCGCTTGATGACTCGGAGGTTAATGGACCGGTCGCGGGTTCTAGGAAGAGAAATCCACCGACTCCTAAGTCGCCGGGAAAGGCGAAGCAGGAGGAGCTTGGTACGCCAGGGCCAATCACCGATTCCCATGGTCGTCAACCCCGCATGAGTGGTACAGTCGAATCAACTCCCGACCCCATCACTGATTCTCATGGACGCCAACCCCGCCAAAGGAAGAAATATGTCAGGAAAACCGCAAAGGAGAGAGAGGCAGAGCAAGCGATTGCAGACGACGAAGCGTTTGATGGGTTTGACTTCCGCATCCATAATGCGGATGACTATACTCCGGAGAGGTGTGATGAGCTGGAGAAAGCCTATTGGCGTACATTGACGTACAGTAATCCACTGTACGGGGCAGATATGCCTGGGAGTTTGTTTGATGACTCCACCACGAGCTGGAATGTAGCCAAGCTCGAGAACTTGCTTGATTGCTTGGGCAAGAAACTCCCAGGTGTCAATACTGCTTATCTTTATCTTGGGATGTGGAGGAGCACCTTTGCTTGGCATTTGGAAGATGTAGATCTCTACAGTATCAATTATATACACTTTGGAGCGCCTAAGCAATGGTACTCCATCTCAAGAGAGGATAAGCCCAAATTTGAGCAAGTAATGAGGGGTAAGCTTTTCTCCTTTTCCCCTCTATTGGCTCTTGAATCTAACTCACGACTGTGCTATAGGTATCTGGCCCAACGACTCAAAGAAGTGCTCACAATTTCTCCGTCACAAGAACTATCTCGTTTCTCCATCTTTGCTTCTCGGTCACGGTATCAAGGTCAACAAATTGGTCCATCATCAGGGCGAATTTGTTATAACATTCCCCTTTGGATACCACTCTGGATACAATCTTGGGTACAATTGCGCTGAGAGTGTAAATTTCGCCACCGAAGCCTGGCTTGAATTCGGACGCAATGCGAAGAAATGCGAATGCATCAAAGATTCCGTCTGGGTTGATGTGGATGAAATTGAGAGAAAGCTGAGGGGGGAGTCTACTGAGGATGAGGATGACGAAATCGGATATTACTACGAGGATGAAGATGAGGATGAACTGGAGGCGAATGATCTCCCAACCCCTCCTGAGAGCGTAGAAGGGAAGCCAGTGAAGGCCAAAAACCACAAGAAGAGGAAGCTCGAAGATGGAAAGGAGCGACCTGTCAAGGTTAAGAAGTTGCGGTTGAAATTGAGCAAAGAGGCTGCCCCTGAGCCGGTGGGTTTTCGCCGTTGCACCCATTTTGATGTAGTAATCTGGCGTTGACCACTTGTGTGTTCGATAGTGTATTCTCTGCCCTAATAATATTCCATATGAAGAGCTGGTAGCTACAGATGATGGCCAAAAAGCTCATAGGTATGAAATTTCAGCTTTTTCTTCGTTTTTCTCCTTTATTTATCTAGTCGGGTGACTTTTATTATTATTTTATTTTTTCCTTTTTTGTATACTCTCATAAGTTCTCCAAGTGTTACCCTGTGATAGTTGTGGCTGATAATGTTTTGTTGCTCGTCCCGCTTAGGCTGTGTGCTATCTACACACCTGAAACCTACTTCACATGGGATGAGGCTCAGCAACAGGAGGTTGTCGCAAATATCCCCGGAATCCCGAAGGCTCGGCTCGAGCTCAGATGCATATTCTGTCGGTCGACAAAGGGTGCCTGCTTCCAATGCTCCTCCAAGAAATGCGCAAGAGCGTACCACGCTACCTGTGCTGCGGCAGCTGGCGTCCTGGTTAACATGTTTGACGTTCCCCACTATGGTGAAGATGGTCGGATATATCCGCAAACAGATATCGACTTCCGCTGTAGATTTCATAGGCCCAAGCGCCCCAAGGGCATGGATAGCGAGAAATTAGAGAATGATATGGTAGTACGGAAGTTTGCTAACAGTCTCATCAAAGGTGATGTTATCCAGATGCAGTATTACAGGGGAGACATCTTCGGTGGGGTGGTTATCGAGAATAGATACAGTGAGGAGTGTGTGGTAGTCAATGTCCTACCCAAAGGGTCAGTCACCGTCATCATTTGTTTTTTCTCTTCATTTTTTTTTTGCCTTTCCTTCTTTTTTTTTTTTGTATCGTTTATTTAAAAGGTGGTTTCTAATCTGGCTTTAGGACTGAAACATTGGAGGTTGAGTGGAAGTGGATATTGGCTCAAGATCCTTCGACGGTTCCTCTGCCTTTACCATTGACCGAGATGCCTATGTATCCGACCGCTCAACAATCAGGGGTTGCGACCACAAAAGCTTCCAAGCTGATCCCCGATCCCGACGATCCCTTTTGTGACGAATCGTCTGGTCTCAAGTGGGGAGAACTTGTAATAGCGAGTCCCCCGGTAAACACAGAACGAACTCCAGTTGACTTTAGCAACCCTATATGGCATTACCTCGGAGAACACTCAACAGAGTATGTTGCCAAATATACTGATGATCCGGAAAAGAGAGTCCCGAACGAAACTGCAAGCATGGGGTCTACTAGGAAACCTAGGGCTAAGATAATTAAGACTCCAGCTAAGGCCTCTAAACCTACGTACCTTAGCCCAGACCCCCTCCAGCGCTCACAAGCGTTGCAATCTCCTTATACGCCAGATCAAATACACGGACACCATTCTCCTCAGAGTCATTTTACGGGAGAGACTGGCGTTAGCCACCTCCCCCAACAGCAATTATGGGCTCCTGTCTATCGATCTCCTATCCCGGCTGTTTCAAGTGTATCTTCCGTTGCCAGTATCGTTGCCGATGCTACTAAAGCGTTCCTTAATGAGCACGCGCTATTCCCGCCAGAGGAACATGCGATATTGACTCGAATGTTATCAGGCCAAGAGACTGGGGTGCCTGCAAACCAGTCCCTAACCCTGACAAATGACGGAACAAGACAGCATGATGACGGCTTCTCTAATCAGGAAACCATCCAGTCGTCAACTACCTCGAATTCAATGATCGACCCTCAGCTCATGGCGCAAGGTACCGGACTGGCTACCACTCCATCCGAACAGATTGGGGCCTATGACCCTGTCCTTGTTACGCAACAAATATCCGCTCTCTCTGCTCAAGCCACAGAGGCCGCCGAAGGCACGACACCAATGCACGCCCATGTAGAAACCCCTAAACAGGCACCTACTTCGGCTATCGTTGCGACGCCACAGGGATCCTCGCCACCTCCCTTCGAGTTGCTAGCAGTTAATCATTCGCCCAATGCTTCCGTCCCACAGCAGCCTCTGAATTTAACGCCTACTCGCAAGTCGGTCCCGTTGGCGGATATCCAGGCCGCCCTTGCGCAACTGGCAAGAGCAAAAGCTCAGCAACAAAAGGCAGAAGCAGACGTAGAAGCAGCGCAGGCAGAAGTAGGGGCAGCCCGGGCGCGGGCGCTACAGTCTGCGGCAGGAGCGCTCGAGCAGACACCCGCCCCGCCATCCCAAGCATGATTTTTTTACTTTCCACGAGTTAAAGCCCTTCTTAGTTTCTGTACATGATGATCTCCTAATGGCGGACTGTGTAAAATATATCTGCCGGGGTTCTTATTATTTTTTTGGGGGGGAGGGTGGTATGGGTGTATTTTCTCTCCCTTTTTCTTTCACTCTGGTTCGTTTTCTTGGTTCTTTATTTGGGTGAATAAGGTATTATGCAGTTTTAGTCTTATGTTTTGTTCCTTTCTTCCTCTTCCCTACTTTACCTTCACTTCTTTCTTCTCTGGAGCCTTTTTTTGCTCAAGTGTATTTATGTACTCCCCACACGACGCCGACTACTCTTTGCTCTCCCCTAATGAGCATTTCTAGTACCCTCTTCTTATCGTGGGAGAGTGTCTCATCTTCCTTCCCTTTCACACGACCGCTACACCGGTGCAAATTGGGAAGTCTTTGTTATTTGTTTTCTTTTTTTTTCTTCCTGTTTTATTCTTACCCAGGCTCCTAATTGCTTTCTTATGGGACGAGTATCTATTGCCCGCTTAGTTATGTACAGCATCAATGTCCCTACCAACCATAGAAGTGTAAAATAATTCACTTGGCCTAAAAGCGGTTTCTTTGGGGAAATAGTAACCGGTCTTCGATCTTGTTATTGCTAAGTTCACTTGTACGAGTACTTGTATCACACAAGTATCACACCAGAACTAAGGCAACCAACAAACCGGGTCCGTTATCTAATCAGATTAACTAAACTACCGGTACAGCACCCGATCAGACCCAACTTCCCACCCAACATTTTCCCTCACACCAGCTCTCTTTCTCTTCCCTCAATCTTCCGTCCCTCGCCCGCTCACCAAATAAATCAACCTACAATTTACATACCCCGCTCCTCATTTTCTCATCCACCCGGACGAGCATTATGATGTTGGCTCGCTCAATCAGGGCTACTCGCCTAGCACCGCTCAGGTTGTTCAGGACCGTTACCACGGACGCTGCGTCTTCGTATGCGGATAAGAGTTCTGTTCCCACAGTCGGTTTCCCCCCCTTCACTACGATAGTTGGCAAGGGGTGGTTGGGCTAATTGATGTTATGGCCTTTTTTAGGAAGACGACAAGCAATTCACTGTCAACCTTTCCAGCGAGAGTTTCGAAAGCTACCTGATTGATGGCCCAAGTACTGAGTTGAATGTATCAAAGAACGAACTTAAGAAGATGTACTTTGATATGGTTACTATCCGGTGAGCACAAGCCTTGCCTTATTTCTTTCTTGAGAGATCCCGAAATTTGGTTTCTGGATGTTCCCCAGTAGCGCGACAGTCGGATTCGGGGTGGGGTGGTTGTCAAAGCTTTCGGGTACTCGGGTCCAGGATCAGGAATTTACCCCGTCATGTTTTCTTGTTTTTTTGTTTCCTACTTCGCAATAGTGAAGCGGCGGTTTGCCCGAGCTACTGACGGGTTAGGAGTATAGGCGAATGGAGATGGCAGCCGATAAGCTTTACAAGGAGAAGAAGATCCGTGGTTTCTGCCACTTGTCTACGGGACAGGAAGCTGTTGCCGCCGGTATCGAGCATGCTATCACTCCCGATGACCAGGTTATCACTGCCTACAGGTGCCATGGCTTCGCTCTTATGCGCGGCGCTTCTGTTAAAAGTATCATTGCTGAGCTTCTTGGCCGAAGAGAGGGTATCGCTTATGGAAAGGGCGGCTCCATGCATATGTTCACCAAGGGGTTCTATGGTGGGAACGGTATCGTTGGTGCGCAGGTCCCTGTTGGCGCTGGAATAGGGTTTGCGATGAAGTACTTGGGAAGGCCGAATACTACTTTTGCTCTGTATGGCGATGGCGCTTCCAACCAGGGTCAGGTCTTCGAGGCGTACAATATGGCTAAGCTCTGGGATATTCCGGTAATTTTCGCATGCGAAAGTATGGTTACCCGCGGAAAGTTAGATCCGATAGCGCATATTATTGATATCTGACTGACCATGCGGACGAATAGATAACAAGTACGGAATGGGCACCTCTGCGAACAGATCTTCTGCTCTGACCGACTACTACAAACGTGGACAGTATATCGCTGGATTGAAGGTTAACGGAATGGACGTCCTTGCCGTTAAACAGGCGAGCGCTTATGCTAAGGAACATACCATTTCTGGAAAGGGTCCGATGGTTATGGAATTTGTCACCTACCGTTACGGTGGCCACTCAATGTCCGATCCTGGTACCACTTATCGTACACGTGAGGAAGTTCAGCACATGCGTTCTACCCACGACCCAATCCAGGGTCTTAAACTGAAGATCTTGGAGTGGGGGATTGTCTCTGAGGAGGAGTTGAAAGCGCTTGAGAAACAGGCTAGGACATTTGTGGACAAAGAGGTCCAGGAAGCCGAGGGGGCACCTGTGCCAGACGCTACTCAAAAGACTCTCTTTGAGGACATCTACGTCCCGGGATCGGAACCGGAGTTCTTGAAGGGCAGAACGCTTGAAGAGACGTAAGTTGCCGTTGTAGACTCCCCAAAAGAATACGAATCTGCCTCGTCGACTAACTTTTTTCCACAGTCATTACTACAGGGCGTAGATTTATCTATTTTATTATGGCGAGACGGATGTCGTTCGGTTTGAGTTAGTACTGTAATTTACTTAGAATCGGATGCTCTTTTTATTTTATTTTTCATTTTCGTTTTCTTTCCCCTCTTTCTTAGATGTTGCCGCGTTGAGGCTTTCGTGGTCTGCAGGGCTCTTTGAGAAGGCGAGTTTTATCATGCTTTTGATGTCCCCCCTTGCTCATTTAGCTCTGGGGAGTGCTTTGTAGTGCTAGAGAGCGATACGATATCCGCCTTGGTCTATGTGACAGGCTGGTAGAGTCTAGGCCGAAAGTAAGGAAGGAAAACTCCTAAGCCCGGTGCATTTACAAGCGCAAGTGTGCCTTGATAATTCACCTCAGATATATTGGGCACTCTTGAAGCCTTCCCACGCGTTCCCGTATCCTCCCCTTCTTTTCCCGGCCGATGTAAGCCCCGCCATAACCACGGCAAAGCAAAGTAGGACAATGATCACCCCCACTCACTCG